GGGGGGGGGGGGGGGGGGGGGGGGGGGGGGGGGGGGGGGGGGGGGGGGGGGGGGGGGGGGGAGGTCTTCTGTTTATTCCTCAGAGGGTCAAGGCAAAGGAGGAGGGGATTTTACTTGGAGGCAGCAGCTGCAGTGAGGAGCTGAGGATTATAGGACTTTGATGCTTTCTAAGAATAATTTTTTGAATAAGTAATAACAAATAATTACAAGAATAATAAGATAAATGTGATAAGTAATAAGTAACAATGAATAAGTAAGACAAGTTTTTGACGCTGAACATTTCCAGTTAATAGCTTCAGTTTGAACACAGCTTTATGGTTACAAATGAGGACGTATAAGTTGATTTAATGATTTAGTCATAACATAGGCTAGAACAACTCCGCCTTTCATAACGAAATATGAAAGAAATTTTGACTTTGACTGATACGATATGGGCCTTTATTCACAAAGTTTAGGCTCTCTAGCTTCCGTGGTTTTGGAGTTCAATTAACGATAGAGTGAAAGAAGAAATAAAACGGTGCTGAACACGAACGTGACAACGGATTCACTGAGATGTTCGTGATGCAAGAATTATTCGTACGGCATTTACTTCATTTCTTAAAACCAATGCTTTCGCATAAAAACAAAATTGTTGCAGCCGTTGCATTAAACAGATTTGCATTTCCTCAGCAGTTAAAAAGACTATTTAAGCTCTTAAAAAAGCTTCCAATTCATTTATTTTGCTACTTCGCATGCATCGGAGAAATTTGGCTTTACTGGGTAGTATATGTCAAAAAATGGGGTGTCGGTCGAGTAAACGAGCGAAGGCTATTCCAGTGCAAGTATGAGATCGGTGAAAACAATTACTATTGTCATGGTCCGCTTGTTGGAACTGTAATTGTAGTTACGAAATGCGCTGGGAAGCATGAGAAGGACAGTAAAAATTTTGTTTTCAGCAAGATCAGCCTGACGTCTTGTTTGGAAACTCTGATGCTGGTGAGACGCAGTTAAAATATATGACTGCTTCAGCACATTTGTCTCCAGCGTAAGCTGGCCAATTCCACCGCACATACGAGCCACCCACTGAATTTTCTTCCCTCGCCTTTTAGTATCTGGACCCCGCTTTGTATGCGGAATTCAAAGCAGTTCTTTGAAAAATTAGAATACTGCGTCGAAGTGAAAGAGACGTTGCAACGTAGATTTTTTGACGAATAACAAATGCAGCTGCTACCGATTATTAACCGAACTTTCCGGTCTCTCACGGTAAATTTTACTAAAACGAATTAGTACACTAGCCTGAAAATAAAGTCCTTTGAACCAGCGAGTGTAAAATGCTTCAAGAAGAAAAAAGAGTTTTTAATTATAAGGCTTGAGATTGTGCGCAGCAGATTTATCATAGCAAAAACCACGCGTTGGTAACGTTAGGGCTACTTTCCACTCATCTGACCGCTGCACTCATGAATTCAAATAAATGTCCAGTAAGCAGATGAGTGTCGC